GTCGTTTTGTGGAGCACTGTCTTCTGACCTTTGTTGTAGATCTTTGCTGTAGTTATAACCTTTGCACGTACTGAAGTTCAGGTGCAGCTCTACAAAGTTTGGACTTATCCAGCTGCATCTGGCTTGGGTCTGGCTGCTGTGCTCAGCTCCTTCCTGCTGCTGCCCTTAAGGGTGAACCTGTGGTGCCCCTGTGGCGAGATGCTCTGCTCCTGGACTAGCTGGTTGTATCTATCCTCTACACTCTCTGCAGGGATTGCAGCTGCAGGATTACACCCCAGGCATGTATACCAGGCCTGAGCTGTGCCTGGAGGGGGCAAGGTGAAGTAGGGGGAAGAGGAAGCTCTCCCACACACTCAGAGGACCCGGGCTAGGACTGGGTCTGGGGGCTCCCAGAACTCGGCAGAAAATCCTACTCGGCGGGCGTGGTGGGGGAGGCACTGCGGAGTGGTGGGGGGTTGCCCAAGGGGCTGGGAGAGGGTCCGACCCACGCTGCGCCTGGGCTGGGACTGGTCCCACCGGCACAGGGTAGCAGGAAGCTCTCCGCACACTCACCGGACCTGGGCTAGGACTGGGTCTCTCAAATACAGTTTTCTTTTTGTTGATAGTCTTAGCATCTTCTGCTATCTCATCTTTGGGTCTGTCTCCCTTTTCAAAGACTCTCTCCAATGACATTTTTCTTTTTTACTCATTTTGGCTAGTGTTAGCCTATGGACCTCAGTACAATTGAAGTACATCAACTCACTTGCCTCTATAAGGCTGACTACCAAATGCCGCTTAATTGTTGCTTGTCACTCAATGAAGCGTTTTGATAAGAGCCTGCAAGCAACTGAGGCAGTCAAACCTCTGCCAATGTGATCTATATTTGCAGCCACTCCTCAGTTCTAGCATCACCACCTCAGCTCCTCAGATCATCAGGTATTACATTCTCAGGAGGAGTATGCAACCTAGACCTTCATGGAGGAAGTTCAGAGCTTGCACACCTATGAGAATCTAATGCCCCTGCTGATCTGAGGGGAAGCAGAGCTCAGACTATCATGTGCATGTGTGCATCATTCAACTCCTCTCGTGCCTGTCAGTTCTTAACAGACCACAGACTGGTAACTGTCAGAGGCCTGAGTTTTTAAATCTGTGTTTACATCTAGGCTCTTATCACTTCCCATGTGTTACTAAGCATGTTTCCGTATCTTTTTTTCTCTAATGAAGATTTAAATAAGAATATTAAGGGGCCGGGGAGATGGCTCAGTGGAATAAGCACTTGCCTGGCAAGCACAAGGGCCTGAGTTCAATCCCCGGTTCCACACACACACACACAAAAAATGAAAATATAAGGCAGAGTAAGTGAGATTTTTCACATAAAGCACTTAGCACGCAGGATCTGGATCCCAATAAGTGCTCAATAAATACTATTTTTTAAAATTCTACCATTTATTCAGACTTACTGAAAGATTGAAAGTATGGAGCCTCAATTTCATGTTTGTCTCTGCCAGAACAGCTGCATACTGAAGTTATTTTGAAATAAATTTTAATTGATCTTATGCTATAGAATCTAACGGGAACAAGGAACACTATCTTTGTCTCTTCACAAGGGAAAGAAGGATGTGCTTCGGTGTCCATTACCTATCAGTGATGTCCTGTTCTCTTAGTCATGTAAACAAAATGCAGCAGCCTCTTTTTCAGCTAAGGGAGCAGAAGAGAATAGTGTAAGTGGGGCTTGGAGTGATTGTATTCAATGAGAAATGCATCAAGGAAAAGCAACATAAGTGATATGTTCAGTAAGGTTTGCAACTGACGTTACATGGGTCTTGCTATGGTTTGTATCTAGGTGTCCCCCACAGCCTCTTGTGGTCACTGGGGCGGCTTTTAGACTTTGATTCATTCATGATCCAGTGCTGGCATTATGGGTGTGAGTGCCGCACCCACCCTGGGGCAGACAGCCTGGATGCAATAGAAGCAAAGGACAGGGGCTTGCCTCTGCCACTGCTGCCCCTGTTCCTCCCTTTTGCCTTTGCTCTTTGCTGTTTTCCGGCACCATGAACAGCTGCCCTCTGCCATGTGCCACTCTGCCTTAAGCCAGCTGAGTATGGACTGAAACTTCCACCAACTGTGAGCTAAATAAACCTTTCGTTCCTTCATTTTGGGTGTCCAGTTTTGCCGCAGCAATGAGAAAAGTAACCCAGACAGGTCTTACCATCTTAGTGGTGACATTTATGCTCATAAACTGGTTTCCATGCTGCTGTATTCACATCCATCTCTTAACCATTTATGAATGAATATTCTAACACCATCTCTAAGAAATTAGAGAAAATATTTGGCCAAACCTTGGCATGAATGAAGATCTCATCTATTCCAGCATCTAAGTGCCAACAGCCACTAGCTTTTCCAGATTAGGACTTCAGGACTAGAAGGAGGCAGTGGCACAAAGTGGAAACTAGAGTCCTCTTTTGCCTTAGTGGGTCTTCTTATGGGGACAGGGGACTTCCAAGCCACTGAGAGCCAGTTCAGTGCATCTTGTCTTTAGCAGAGCAGTGGAAAGTGCTCCTTATAATAGCTACTCTGTCACATCCACAGAAATGGACTGACAGGAGGGGTCTAGCGTGGAACTGGGCAAGGTGTGCGTGTACACTTCATCTCATGACTCACTCTGCTGCTGGGTTCCTAGAGTGATCTTTGACCTCCTACAAGGCCAGGTTTCAGGGAGCCTGATTTATTACTGTTATCTGCCATGGGCTGTTGATGGCAGAATAGCTTATAGCACATATTTGCCATTTGGTATGGAAAATAGAGTCTTGTGATTTTGATTCAAAGCACTTGCTGTACAATCCCAACCTGCTATGAAATATAGCTAAGGGACCTGAAGTCACTTACATTCTGAGCTTGTCTCTCTCGCCTTCAGTGCTTCAGTTGATGTCTGGTGAGCATCTTGTGCCAGGTTGCAATTAGAGCTGCAGAAGGTAATAAAGATAAATAAAATGTGGTGATTGGTCTTAATAGGGCAGCATTTAAGTGCAAGAGATAAACATGAAGAAACAAGGAAAACATGAAGTATAAGTTCTGGACTAGGTGTCTCAGTACAAAGAGCAGAAAAGAGAACGCATGGGAGCTGGAGGACTTCATAGGGAGAGTGACAGTGGACCCTTCTCTTCACAGGGCAACTAAGAGCCCACCCAGATGGAGAAGAGAGGTCATTCCAGAAAGAAGGAGCGCTGCATGCAAAGGCAGGCAGGCCTGACAGAGGGTCGCATGTGCAAGGAATGGTAAGTACTGACGGCTACTGTAGCAGGCAGCATTTCCTAAAGAAGACTGAAGAAATGGTGATTTCAAGGGATTTGCCCTGGTTAGTTGGGAGGGAGAAAAGTCCTGTGGGAAAGTGGGTTTAGGAAAGATACAGACTAGGTTTAATAAAGTTTACTAAAGGTTATTTTTCCATGGGGCCGGGGAGATAGCTCAGTGGAATAAGCGCTTCCCTGGCAAGCGCAAGGACCTGAGTTCAATTCCCGGTTCCACCAAAAAAAAAAAAAAAAAAAAAGGTTATTTTTCTTGAAAGATTCCTTAGAACTTTGAATATACTAAGCCTTCCTCTTGGTATGCTGAGGGCCCACGTGAAAAAGGGTTACAGGAATTCCCTGCTCCGGGACATACAGTCTTTTAACAACCCATTTAGTAAGCTATTTTATCTGATAATAGGAACATGACCTCAATGCATATTTAAGAACTATTTCTTTGTCATTAATGGTGATTAAAAGCTGTAGTAACAGAGACAGACAAGCCTGGGTTCAAGCCCCAGAACTGTTAACTTTCTGGCTACTTGAAATTTGGTTTCTCAGCTGTATAATGGGGGTGAATATAGTATTGATTTTACTATTCTGCGAGAATGGAGATTTTTATATAAAAGTGCTTAGCAGAGTGTGTGGCCCCAGAGTAATCTCTACTAAATAACATCTATTTTCATTTTGCTGAATTTTTGACTTTGCTCCTTTTTTATTTTCTAATTTAAAAATTCATTGGTACATTTTAGATATACATAATGATAACATTTATTATAGGAAATTTGTACCTGAACATGATATACTTTATTATTTTCCCCTTCTCCTACCCCCTACAACCCATTTTTTCCATATTTACAAAAGCTTTGTTTCCATTTTTTTCCTTCTATTCTTTTTCTTTTCTTTTCTTTTCTTTTCTTTTCTTTTCTTTTCTTTTCTTTTCTTTTCTTTTCTTTTCTTTTTTTTTTTTTGTCCTTCCCCTCCTTTCCACACTATTGATCATGAAACAAATGGAGATGGGGCCAGTTACTTTGAAAAGGTACCACCAGGCTGTTTTGTTGGTTAACATCTCAAATGTGATCTAGAGCTTATCAGTCCCTAGGTATGGTATTAACAGATAATACCATAGACAAGACAGTGACACCGTTGTTGAAGCACCAAAAAGATCCTACATACTGGAAATCAATTGCCCGGTTTTTGAACATTTCAGGCAAGGGGGATCCTGCCACCTTGTGGTTGGAGAGTAGTAGGCAGGATGCCCAGTCGTTTCATCTCTAGCAGTTTCAGCCCTCACATCACCTCTTAAGTTATGAGGCCTTAATCAACCGATTTAATTTATGCCTACTTCCTCTGCTAACATAGAACCACATTATCTCTTGGTTTCCTGTGAAGTTAAGGTGCCACACAACTTTCTGTATTTTATGCAACCCAGCAGTGGACAGAAAATAAACCAGTCTTGTCTATCTTGTCTTTTTTCTCTCTTCTCTTCTCTTCTCTTCTCTTCTCTTCTCT